CTACCCCCCACCCTTCCCCTTGCACCCACATCTATTGTGGCCCAGGCCTAGGACTCCTTATCTCTCTCAAAAATCAAGGTCTTTTCGTGGCTAGCCCTATCTATGAGAGAACTGATTGTTGATCAGTTGCAGAGACGTGGCGTCTCTCTTACCAATCGCTGCGTCTTGTGTTTAGCTTAGGAGGAAAATAACAACCACCTCTTCCTACACTGTCCCTACGCTTTCAACCTTTGGGGAGCAATCCTCAAATTGTTCAAAGTCGAATGGGTACTGCCTGCAGAAGTGACTTCGATTCTCTCTTTAATCAAGCCTTTTCCTTGGGCCAAATCAGGGATCATTCTCTGGAAATCAATGATGGCCGCAGCATTGTGGGGCTTATGGATTGAGCGTAACCACAGGAATTTCAGGGGGGGATACACCTCTTGGCCCAAAATTTTCAACAAGCTCAAATCCTCCATCAGTTTTTGGGCTACTAATCACCCTCGATTCAAAGGTATCCCGGCCTCCGCCTTTCACCAGGATTGGAGCAACATCCTATGCCATCATTGGTCTTGCCCTTCCAGATCTTCTCGCTGGAAACCACCTCCTCAGGGGATATTTAAGCTCAATTTCGACGGTTGTTCCCTAGGTAACCCAGGGCCAGAAATTGGAGCCATCCTCAGAGACCACCTTGGCTCTACAGTGGCTTCAGTGTAAGGACTTGATGGAGGCTGAGGTGATAGCTCTTCTAGAAGGCTTACAACTCATCCAACATCTAAACTTGCCCTCTCTCATTGTAGAGGGTGATTCCACGAACACCATAACTTGGGCACAAAACCCTGCAACCTCCCCCCTTGGTTTTTGGCTCATTTAGTTGATCACATTCATTACTTATGCAGGAATACGTTCGTCGCGTGGACACATACCTGGAGGGAAGGAAACCAGAAAGCTGATTCCCTTGCAAAAGCAGTAGCGGAGATGGACGGTCACTAGGAGTTTTCTTCATTTTGTTTTTCTTTTTGTACTCTTTTTGTATGCTGGAGCGGCCTCTTTTCTTAGGTTGTTGCCCTTTAACAATAACTTTTTGAAAGAGGCTTCAATTCCACTTCTCTTTTTCTTTTTGCCTATCCTTGAGCACCTTGTTTGTGGTAAGCCAAGGTTTTGTACTCCTTTTTCTTAAATTAAAGGTTAATATTATCGAACAAAAAAAAAAAGTTATTCTCCCAATAAAATGGAATTATCTTCTCCATAACTTATTTGTTTTGAATAATTGTCTCCTTCAGAACTTTCATGTATCATTTCAAGGTAAGGTTCCTTCTCATTCTCAAAACCACTCTGGCCAGTAAATTCTCTTGGTTATATTTCATTTCCCCAGTTTTTTCTCCTAAATTTCTCTTTATTTTCTTGTCATATTTCCTTCCACCAACTTTTCTTCCATCTTCTTTCCAAGACAAATGTTTAGGTTAAAAAAAAAAAAAAAACTCTATAATATGAGTCCCAAACATTACCAGAAGATGTTAAGTATATTTGACATCAATCAATAAAATCTTTAGACATTGATCTATCAATCTGCAAAGACAGATATGTACGTCAACTCATTTGACTTTACTGTCCCATAAAGATCATGTAATTCATTAAAGTCATGTATTTTTTTGTGTTTTTTTACCCCACCAAAATTAGTGAGGGGTTTGAGCAGGAACCCACCCGTTGTATTAATATTGGTAATAAGTACAAAGTGTATATACAAGAAATAGAAGTAGCATAAGAAGTTTCCATGTACAAGTATCCTCACTTCAGTTATCTTTCAAGTCTCTCAGTATGGGGTGAAGTTCTCATCTCTCATAGATAATGCTCACAGTCATTCTTCGAGAGTGGTACGTGAGCATCAGGAATGCTTTTCTGAATTTTCGAAGTTTTTTCTCTCATCACCACTAGAAATGGATTGATTTCGATTTTCTTTTGCATTCTGGCTCCTTTCTTGCCAATTACCCATATGATGATAGGGAGAACAAACCAAACCCCCCCCCCCCCCACACACACACACACACACACAAAATATCATTTTATAAAGGAACCTATTAGAAAATTGTTTTTTGAAACAATTAGCTACGAGGTCTTGGGTGCATGAAGTGGCCTTTGAGTGAGTGTTGAATCTCCACAACACCATTTGGTTAGTATGATGAGCAAAATTACAAGTGATGAATAGGTGGTCATGGCTCTCACTTCAGATTTGCACATTTAGCATATGTTATCCACTTGAAGACCCATCTTTGAATTCTATCATTTGTGAGAAGCCTATTTTGGTACGCTAATCAAGAGAACCATGATGCCCTAGGACGAATTGGGTTTTTCCATATGCCCTTTGGACATTGTTTCTACATCCATGCTCTGGAATCACCCCATGAGTATCGATCTTGAGAGCGAATCCAGCTGATCTCTTCAACACCATCATCGTTCGCTACTCCAAGAGACTCTCATCTTATGATAGATAGGGTGCTACGAATGCCTTTCAAGCCCATGAATTTCTACTTGTGGTCCTAAAGACTCACAACATGTTGCCTCCAAATATATTTTTTCCTATTAATGATGACACAAAGAGTTTTTCCCAGAAGCCAACTCCCATCCCAGCTTTGGTTAGTAGGGTCCGACCAAGTTAATTTCCTTACTTCTTTTGATACCAAGCCCACATTCACCCTTAGGTTTACAAACTGAGGTACATCTGACAAGGCCTAGGTGTTTTTGGTTTAGTTGGTTGCCGTGCAAGAAGGATCTTGGGATCATTGTTTTAAATGCGGCCGCATCGCAACATATGCGGCTGCGTCATGCCATATCCACCAAGAGGCGCATTGTAAAACAATGCATATGCAAATTGGTGGGAGGCACATTGTAAAACAATGCATATGCAAATTGGTGGGATGAGCCCGCATATGCACTGCATCCCATCGCATATGCGGCCACATAGCGCATCGTACCGCATATGCGCTTCATCAGCATGATGGAAAAAAAAAAACCCTCAAAAAGGGGTATTTAGGTAACTTACCCCCCCCCCCCGAAAACCCGAACCGGGTACGGGGACGGGGACGGGGGACGGTAACGGTACGAAACGAACGAAAACGAACGACGTACTTACTACTAGTTTTACGTTCTTAC